CATATGCATACAAACTAAATATTTTGAATGTATGTTCTTATAAAACCCAGTAAATTTCAAAATAAGTTATTCCAAAATTCGCTTGAAAATGAAACAGAACTAGGGACTTTAATTTAATTATATAATTGAATTTGAAGTTTTCAGCTTCTGTTTTTGAAACATGGTAATTCCTGTGTAGCGATGGAACCATATTTTTAAATAAGTAAATTTATAATATTTATGCCCTGTAGATTAATAAGAACACCGGCTTATATATCTTACTGTTCTTTATCTTTTATAATATATATATATATATATATATATATATATATATATATATATATATATATATATATATATATATACACAGCAACTATGTTGAGCGGAACATAGCTTAATCTAGTGTAATCAGTTTTTTACCAATGCCGCTCAGATCACCGAAACCCTCGGTCACTATGAACTGGGACTTTGTCTAAGGTAAACAATTGTTTCGTCTGCCAAATTTAATTTACCAGCCTATAGTCGACCTGTACCGCAGGCTGCGATCAAGCACGACAAATCAATTATTGTGAGATATACAATTACCTTCCCCTAAAGCGCAGTGGCTGTTGATCAACTATGTATTAGAATTTTCAGGCACTTCCCAACGTCGCTGCCCGATGCCATTTTCTTCACATAATTATATTGTCAAGAAATCACCTAAACGACCATGATGAGATTCGAACCCGAGTTTCATAGTCGAAATACTAACATTCCAACCAATTTGCCCCTGGGCCAAAAATTCTGCTTAAAAATAACCATTTGAAACATAATCTAGTGCGCTTTTCGGCAAGCCATCTTGCGGACAAATTCGCTAGTGTAGTGACTTATGAGCTCGTCACGCACCCTGTTGTCATGCTCTTGTGCCAGACGAAGATAAGTTTTAATATATATTATGAAATATTCAATCCTACAATTAGGCTTACATGTATTCTAACAAAATGGCACTTTTACACTATTGATTTCGTAAGTTATTTACTTGATGTTTAAGAAAAAGAAAGTATAAAATGTGTTCCATTATTTTGCTTTCATGATTTTTCAGAGAACTTCACGACAATGTATCGACAGTGAAATTGAATTAATGCCAATAATGTATATAATTGCTTATTTAAGTTCTAGCATGGGTCTTTAATAATATATCTTACTGAAAAAACAGATTTAATTTACTTCGCTTTAAAATTTTCCCACTTTGGACTTTTCGTAAAACACGAAAAGTGCTATTAATAATATATTGCCGCTCTACTGATGTTAACTCTTGGAAAAAATTGATTCAGACGAATATTTTTATTCAGTCCATGTTATTCAAAACCACAAGCAAAAGTTGAAATATTAACGTCATCATGAATAACACATCAGGTCAAATAGAAAAGTTTTTTTTCTTTTTTGAAAAATGCTTTATCTTTTTATG